GCTACAATATGGACACACAAGAGTGTTCACACAAGTTCAATCATGGGGCTGTGAAATATGAGGTCGCGATGTCCCTTCTTGAGCCGCAGTGTGCCTGGATCAGTGGGCCGCATAAGGGAGGGAAACACGATCTTACGATCTTTCGAGAAGGAGGTCTGAAGCAAAAGTTGAAGCGGTGGAAACAGGCAATTGTGGATAGGGTAGCTGGGCCTGGTTCTTGTTGGTGGGGAACCGAAGCCACAAGGAGAGGAGAAACTATGAGATCCATAGCTTGTGGTTCCAAAGATTGGACTTGGTGAGCCAATAGAGGAGTTTCCAGAAATGTTCATCCCTGAAAGATTAGAAACAAGGAGGTCAAAAGAGGAGTTGAGTGCAGTTGCTTGTTCTGGAATTGTCGAAGACACTGCAGTACGCTGTTCAGCTGGCACATCGTGCTGTTCTATTGTTGGTTTGTCCTCCTCGATCTCCTCTGTCTCCATCCTGTTGTCTGCGTCAACAGGGTTTTCCTCGTTTGATTCGATCTTGTGTTTCTTTAGCAATTTGATGTAGGTTTCAATACCCACCCGTTTCACAGTGTTAGGAACCACAAGAAATTCTAAAGTCATCGATCTGCCGGGTGTTTCTGTGCTCCTACAAGATGTTCATACGTGAAGGTAGGAATCTTAACTAGCTCTGTAGGAAGCAGTCTAGTGAACTCCCAGAGTAAGAGCTCTCGACATGTCTCTTTGTACGGCTATCATCGTCATTGGCGTGTGTACACCAGCCTACTATTGTACAACTTGCACTGTCAAACATATTATTGATTGATCTGTTGTCAATTATATTCTGTTAGATAATGTCAATAAGCCAATTACTCAGCTTAGTAGAATGGTACCAAAAGGAACCCAACAATACTAGCCAAAAGGGCCGAGGCGGATACAAGTGTGGAGACTGCAGCAGAAGCTGGAGGATCGGTTGCTGTACCGTTGGCGGGGGCGTCAGTAGGACTTGTGGGATCCATAGGAGTAGCAAAGCAACTGTCAACAGTCTCCACTGACGAGCAGGTTCCCGAGTTGTCCC